CTGCCATTGAGATCGTTTGCGACAGCTAATTTCGAGCTGAGAGACAAGTCAGAGACGTATTCCCTAGTCTTCCCATGTTAAATGCCTAGTTACTAGCATTCCTATAAAAGTTACTAGTTATCAGTTAATTTGGGTTACTTACTTTGCAGCACAGTTATTTCGTTGTCAGTTACTTGTCTCTAAACTTAATTATCAGTAACTACCAGTATTTATACCAGTACATATATATAGTATATCTAAAACATAATTTACCAGAAGGCATCAATCTACCATGCAATTTTTTCGTCTTGTTTGACTTCGCTTCCAAAAGACGAACCGAGCACGATTCGAAATGTTGGAGAACATTGATACAGTATATTCGTTCCACGGTATCATTCTGCAAAGAACTTTTGCAATTATGATGTAATTCCATCATAAAATAAATAATCTTAAGTTAGAAGGAGCGAATGATTCTTCGTTTGATGTTGGATTTTACAAAATAGTACTCATAGGCAATCTACTTTCCTCCATCCTTGGAGATTTTCACAGAACACTGAAATTATGACCCTACTACGGACACAAAACCCAGCCCATTCTCATAGTTTCTCAACAGATATACAAACGGCATTTTCGTCGTCTGCTTAAAAAAAATAAAAGTGTCGCAGAACTTCTCAACAGCCTTTTCCCGCAATTCACTCAGCTAATTACTGAAAAAATACTTTTGTAATCTTTATTTATTGATTCTGTGATAATCAACTCTGGCAACTGTTAATAAACTAAACTGCAGTTGTGTTGAACGGCCGTTTTACCACTATGAACGCTATGGACGGACAATGCGATGAAAGGCCCACGTCTGCAACGGAAAGATATCAGGAACATTAAGTTAACAGCGGTTTTGCACAGAAATATACCCAACGAAGACGCCGTTCTCTTAATCGAGATCAAGGAAATGTCATTTCCTAGCGAGCAGACACGAATGGCCATACGGCGAAACTAAGCCGTAATAATAAAATAAACTATTAATAAAGTTATGAGCTAAGAAGTTATAAGTTACTCTTTGTT